TCAGCTTTTCTTTTGATTTTATATACCCATCTACAAGAGACAGTTTGCACATTTTCTGGTTTCGGAACGAGACTCCAAGTTTGATTGAGCATCTATCTCTGCCTCCATGGCAAGCTCCCATTCTTTGGTTCCTTTGGCTTCCTCATATGTGGAAGGCTCATCCTCATCTATCGGTCCTGCAAAGAAACAAGAGTACGTGCTAATGAAATTTTCATCTCGATAGCGAGCGGGCTTCACGGTGGTTCTTCTTGGTCTTTGTGAAATTTGTGAGTCATCTCTTTCATGTAGCTCATGAACAGCTTGTGCATGTGAACTCCCCCTTTCACTTGCCTCCTCAATTGAAGACGATGAGACACTGGTGGTAGGTAAGTCTGTCACTTCTTGCTCGTTTTTCTTATTTGTCACCACACCTTCGTAATAAAGTGAAATTTCATCAAAGATTACATCCCTGGAAACAGTAAAGAGGTGAGTTTTGGGATCCATACACTTCCAGCCCTTCTTCCTTTCATCATATCCGACAAAAATGCACTTTCTCGCCTTTGCATCAAGCTTGCTTCTTTTCGATTCCGGAACATGAACATAGCAGATTGAACCAAAGACTTTGAGATGTTTGACAGAAGGCTTTTCTCCGAACATTAATTCGTACGGCGATTTCATGTTTGTTGGAGACAGCGGCATCCTATTAATCACATATGCATCACAATTCATGCCTTCTGCCCACAAGGTTCTAGGCAAATTCTTGGCATGCAACCAACTCTTACATGTTTCCGTTAGATGTCTAATCTTACGCTCCGCGACGCCATTTTGCTGTGGTGTTTCAGCACAAGTTAGTTCCCGCCGAATTCCATGTTCTCGACAAAATGAAAGAAATTCTTCCGAAGTAAACTCTCCGCCACTGTCGGTTCGCAACCGCTTAATTTTGGAGTTAAGTTCGCCTTCGACCACTTTCTTGAACTCTGTAAACTTGAGAAAAACATCTGACTTGCGCTTGACAAAATACACCCATGTGAATCGTGAAAAATCGTCGATAAAAATTAACATATACGAGTAGCCTGAACAAGAAGGAGTTCTTGTTGGCCCCATCAAATCACTATGAATTAGTTCTAATGGAGCGCTACATCTTGAGACAGATCTGTCAAACGGAAGTCGATGAGCTTTCCCGTATTGGCATCCTTCACACACCACTCCACCGAAATTAGATAAGTTAGGCAGCCCGTTAACTAGATTTAATTTCACCATTGCTTTCAACTTCTCCATATTAAGGTGACCAAGTCGAGCATGCCAAATTTGTGAATTATCATTGCTACTTGTTTTCTCAATTAGCGAATTAGATGCCGATAGGACAAATAAATCATTAACTCTCTTACCAGAGTGAACGATGTCCGCCTTAATTTCCTTGACATTGCGAAGAAATTTGACGTCGCGTGGTCCGAATAGCACAAAGTTTCCAGCATCTACAGCATTTACAATTGAGAATAAATTTTTCTTCATGCCGGGAACATAAAACACGCTGTTAAGAGTGATTCCGTCTTCATGCTTATCTTTGATGACCACCGTGCCTTCATTTTCTACGTGATGGACTGTATTATCTGCTGTCACAATGGCATCGTCGCCGTTGTATTCTCGAAAATGAGAAAATTTAGACTGGTCACCTGTGAGATGATGCCCACATCCTGAATCCACGATCCAGTCGTCTTTAACGTTGATCGAGGTCATGGCATTTACAAATCTCGTCTCTGCCACGAAACAACTTCCCCAGTCTTCTTCATTTTTTTCTTTTGTAGTTTCAGCCACATTACTCTCCTTGGCTCGACAATATTTCTTAATATGTCCCAAGCGACCGCACTTGTAGCATTTAAATTGCTTCTTATTCGGAATACTTGAAGCCTCTTCTTTTCTCTCTTGTGGTTTCCGAAACTCTTGAGTTTCATTTCTTTTGAAATTCCGGAAGAATTTTCGCTTGGTGGCGGCAAGAGCACTGCCTTCTCCTTCTTTAATAGACACTCCAGCCATTTGTTTAGCTAGAGACTCCTGTGACGATAGCAAATTCTCAAACTCCTCCAAGGAAGGTTGTTGAGCCCATCCTTGAATCGATGTAACATATGGAATATATTCTGGCTTAAGCCCTCGAATAATAGTTCTCCTTATTCGAGCTTCAGAAATTGCTTCATCCGGATTTAAGAGAGATATTTCGGAGCTTAAATTTTTTATTTTCAGAAAATACTCGGCGATTGAAAGATTACCTTGAGTAGTGTTCGCCAACTCGTTCTCTAGAATTTGCAATCGAGCTTCATCTTTCTTGTTGAATAATCGATCGAGAGTCTGCCATATTTCATGGGCTGATTCACAGCGCATAATATGGTCGAACAAGCCGTGAGAAATCGATCTCTTCAATAGAAACTCAGCCTTCGCATTCAGCTGCTTCCACTTCTTAAGGGCAGCGGCGTTCTCCGTCGTATTTGCGGGAGCCTCTGTATTGCTTCCGTTAACAACCTCCCACAGATCTTCTCCAACAAGATACGACTCCATACAAGTCCGCCATATTCGGTAGTTGGATGGGTTCAACAGCTCCATACCAAGCCCACTAACACGACCACTCACATCCATTTGAGGCACCAGTTGAATCTTCTACCAAGGGATCTTGTTAAACACCAGCCCTATGGCTCTGATACCATGTGAATATAAAATAACAGCAGATTAAATATATTACTGCTGGCCCAAGATCACCAACCACGTTGTAGAAAGATTACAACTAAAAAGAATTAAACCTCAAATATGAGTAAAGAAGAAAGCTAAAAATTGAAGAGATAATTTGTTGGAAATCTTTTCTATTTCTCGATTGATTACAAAAGCTGGATAACACACTAATATATACAACTTTAGAAGGCTCTAGCATCCTAATTAATTACCTTAATTAATGACCTTGAAATTTTAACAATAAAATAAAGTTTAATTCTACTCTAGAAAATTCTTGAAAAACCTACTGTAAAGAAAACAAAAAATAACTTTAATATATCACAATCTTTGATGCCGACCCCACAAAACGAGGATCGGCTAAGAAGGCGCGGAGGGAAACCGGAATAAAGTCTCTGGCTAAGAAGGCGCGGAGGGAAGCCGGAATAAAGTCTCTGTGAAGGAGTTGAAAGATGAGGCACCGGTTGCCGATGCAGAGCTGAAGTATGGCGATAGGGTGGTCTTCGCCTGGGTTTAGATTCGGCAGCCACTCGGTATCAAGACCTATTAGGAGATTCTTCGAAAAATCGTTGTGGAATTTGTATATCGAACAAATCCATTCGTGTACTTGTTGCGCCTCCCTTGCTACCGTAACGTGAATGAATTCGTTGTAAAAGGGGACCAATAAAAGGTGTGGCTGAACCTCAATTGTAGACATGGCCATGGCAGATAAAATTACTAGAGAAATTGATGATGAAATTTGGAGAGAAATTATTCGGATCGAATAATTTATAAGGACGAGAAGTTTAAAAATTGAAGTATGAAGTTTGACGAGAAGAGGTGGGCAGTATGTATATATATAAGGACGGGTGAAAATATTCATAAGGAATCATAGTTCTAATCTAATTATTAAACAAAAAGAAGTTGAGTTCAAGTATAATTTAGAATTAAAAAAAAAAAGAAAAAAGAAAAATATTTTATTACCAAATAAAAACATTGTTCTCCAAGTAAAATCAAGAGAAGCGATTGTAGAGATGATTGAAATTAGGGCTCTTAGCATCAGCCCTTGGGAGAGTTTTCCAAGGGGAAGGAAGTTTCCATCTATTTAGAATTAATATTAGGTGTGAAAATCGGAAGGAAATATCTGAATTTCGTCGATTTTGTTACGAAAAATTCAGATTTTGGAACAATTCTTTGGGTTCCCGATTTCTGATATTTAGCAAAAAAAAAAAAAAAAAAAAAAAAAAAAATCGAAATGAGAATTATATATCACTTTTAGAATTTTCGATCAAAATATAATTCCCAGAACCAAACGTTGCTGAAGTATAAGTACGATTAGTATATATTTACAAGTATATTATACAATAACTACATAAAGTAATAATAAATTATGTATACAAATTGTAAGATGTGTATTACTTATCAAAACAATTATTTATACAAATTGTAAGATGTGTACCACACACATGAAATTTAGACTATGCATGGTTGTAGAATTAATGAATTGCTATTAATGGTGGGATTATAAAAATTATTTAATTTATAATTGGTCATGCAAAATTTCAATTTGTAATATTTTACCTATGATTTTACATATATTTAGTTTAATTTTATTGTTTATTGTTTTTGCTTTTGCTGATAAAATATATGGATTTTATCGTTTTTGCTTTTGTTAGACGGTGACATGGCTCTACTAACATTTCTTAAATCCTTATTATTTTACATAAGGTTTATAAATTTTCATCTATGATAACATTAACAGCCCTGCGGGACATAAATATGGTGCGTATCGGTCACATGACATGAAATCTTGGCTCAGGTAGTTGTTTCAGGGGTGTGACTGTTATTACCAATACCACAAGAACTTTAAAATTATTTTAGCATATACCTCAGGGCTGTAGATATAATATACCCAAATATGTATTGAGAGAAAAATTGGAGAACGAAAGTAACATTTGTTTGTAATTTGAAATGAAACAAAATACATTGTAACTGTCAAATCATGTGTAAAAGTATTAGGAAAATGTACTGTAGAAGAAAATTTTGAAAAGTAAAGTGATGTTTTTTTATGTTTTACTCTAACAATCGAATCTGTAGCAGCCACACTATGCTAAATAGTTTCAATTTCGACATTAAAAATGTGTTTGGCTTAGCTTATAAGCTTCATAAAATCCCTTGAACAAAATCAATAAAGACAGATATTGCTTCTACTACAAGAGAAAATGAGTAGCAACGAAATCCCAAAAAAATGAGATACCAAGGGTAAAATGATTTCCCCTATATAACAACAACGAAAACTTAAATCCAAAAGCATCAAAACGAAACAAAAAATAAAAATAAAAATAAAAATAAAAATCATCACATTTGATTCTCATATTTTCCAGGTCTCTTTCGGTGTACACAGTTTTGCACGTAGTAGTATCTTTACTATATTTCAACAAATTGTCAAAATTTTAGTACATTGACAACAAATAACTCAAATCTATTAAAGGAAGGGTAACAAAAATCATAAGAACTTACCATGGTTAAAAGCCGAAGTTATGTTTCAAACCATCTCTTAAGACTCCTCGAGCCTTGCTTCTTGTCACCAGAATGAACAGAGTTGCCCCCTGATAATTTAGATCTGTATTGTTCGATCAATACATCCAGTTTATCCACCACCGCATCATTTTTCTTACTCCGTTTTTTGCTCGATTTATCATCATGCAATATTCTTCGTTTTCTTTGTGCAACTACTGCATTTGTGCTTTCTTGCTTGGCAATATTAATTTTACCTCCTTTCGAAGTGGTAACTTCACTACTTCCCTTTTGCTCATTTCTAACCACCTCTGGCTTCGACTTCTTTATCTTTTTCTCTGACGAAAAACTGTTTCTCGCACGTCTTTCAAAACCCTTCTGCTTCTCAGTAAAACTGCCTTCTTCGATTGGAGTTACTTCACCAGGTTTGTTTTCTGATTTTCGTTTTTTATTCACAAAAGGCTTCGAATATGAATCGCCATCTGCAAAATTGCGAGTTCTTGATTTCATGTCAGAGGAGGTACCCCTGCCTTCTTCGGTTGGAGTTACTTCACTAAGTTCGTTTTCTGATTTTCGTTTTTTATTCACAAAAGGCTTCGAATATGAATCGACGTCTTCAAAATTGCGAGTTCTTGATTTCATGTCAGAGGGGGGACCCACCCTCCTTGAACGGCCGTTTTGCTGGGACCCACCTTCTGCTGCGTTGCGAAAGGCTTGTTGCTGCTGATATTGAAGCTTTTCTGCGCGTTGCTTCAGTTTCTGGACATTCTCTAAAGCAAACTCCACGATTGGTCGATGTTCAGGATCAAAGGTATCTGTAACACCATTACACACACTGATTGAAGCAAGGGGTAAACCCGTAAATTGATATGACGCTCAAAGAATATAATTTGTTACAGGGATACTAACCAGGATTATTGTTAAGAACTCTTAGGGCCACAAGTGCATGTTGATGCTCGGTGAACTCTAGGAAAGCCACGCCACGTGGACGACTTTTTTCACCTTCTTTTACTTTCTTTGAATCATCCTGCAAGATTTTTATCTGCACAGACCAAAAAAAGAAAAAAATGTCAACAAAATAAAAAAAATATACAAAAAATGAATATCTCTAACATTAGAGAGACAATTACTGAACCATTATTCAACCTGTCGAATGAATGGATTTTGCTTAGTGGCACGAGAGGTAACTGCATCCATGAAAATTTTTCTAAGATCTTTTTCTTGCGTAGTCTTTGGCACATTGTATACAATGAGCCTTGTCTTAGATATAAGGAAGTTCGGAGATTTCAGCTTAGACATCTTATCTTCGTACAACCTACAATAGAATGTTCAAGTTCAATATCTACATATGTCGGGGGTATTCAGAATTTCACATTTTCATATTTTATTGAAAAAAAATTGAAGAAACGTACCTCTTGCGTTTTGACATATCAGCCACTGAAACTCCTACTGCAGCAGGCATCCCTTCAGTGATAAGACCCTCCTGTGAAGAGATGACCAATATTAAAATTTATGCCCCAGCAGAAATATAAAAGATATAAATTGGTGAGTTTTTACTTTTTTTATTAATATTTGACAAGAAACGAGAAAGAAGTTGGAGATCAACCTTAGCCAGGAATAGATTGCGGTGGTCTTGATCCTCTTTTTTAACCTTCTCCACTGCCTTATCATGCGCTGTTGTCTTGTTCAAAGCCTTGAGCACCTTCACCGCTCGTCCTTTTAATAAAATACCGAGACCACCCCCAGAGTTGGCTGCAGAAACTGCAGCATCTACACCATCTACTGTTTTGAACTTGAGAAATCCAGTTCCTCTTGGACGCCTGCAGAAATACGAAAGATGTTCGTAAAATTAAACCATGACACCTGTCTTAGAGAATGTAAGATCACGTTTAAACAAATACAGGTCCGTACTTGGTGACTTGATGAAGAACTGGTACATAGGACTGCACTTCACCATATGCAGAAAAGCGTTGTTTCACTTCCTCAGTAGTGATTTCAAAGGGAATATTGCTAATGAAAATCGTCCTCTGCAACTCTTCTTCTTCTTGAAGAGGTGACTTAGTATATTTTGGTTCTGCTCCAGCTCCACTTACTGCCGCCGCTGCAACACCAGTACCAGATGCATCACGCGATTTCTTTTCGACTGGAACAGATTTATCGTCAATGTCTCCTTCGGATAATACTAAAACTTTGTCTTCAGAAACATTTGCAGAATCGGGTGTAATGAAGTTCTTAAGTACGTTTTTAGAAATCTCCGCCTCTTGCTCAAAATCAACTTCACTTATACTGTCATCCTTATCCGATGAATCTGACTCTTCTTTCGCGGCATCATTGCTACCAAGTGATGGCGATTTTTTGACTGGTTTCAAATCAATGTCCTCCAAATCACTACTGCTTCCATCATCTTTTTCCGGTGCTGTAAAAACCACAACTCAGATTGAGTGAAACGTAGTAATTATATATATATATATATATATATATATATATATATATATATATATATATATACAAGCACTAGATAGCATCCAACAGGTGTCGAGGAAATATCATGCTTGTCGAATTACAAACCAGAAAAAATAGCTAGTGAATATTATATAGTGCACAAGAAATAAAAAAGTCATTTGTGCAAAATTTGGCAGCAAAGACTTCAAAGAGGAAATGGGGCGAATACCATCTTCGTTGGCGACAACAGCATTACTGTCAAGTGTGTAAAGCTTTTTTGAAACAGCCCAATCAACAGCTATTGGTCTTTTACCAAAACTTTTCCCATTGAAGTTCTTGATAGCCTGCACAAGATACAAAAACCGGAAATGTCAATCAATCGTTCACTAGGGAAGTTCAATAAAAGTCTCAAAGCAGTTAAGAAATGTTTACAAAGGTGCCTGCATTCAGCTGAAATTCACGGCACTTAAGTTTCTTTCCATTAAAACATTATTCAGAAAATACCCAACATACATTTTCTGCATCTTGCTTCGATGTGAATTTAACAAATGCAAATCCTTTAGAAAATCTGCAAAGGGTAAAGAAGAGCGAAAAAATCAACCGGACAGTAAACGTGCAGGTATTAATTAAAGTATCAATAGCAAAAGTCGAAGAATTACCCAGTCTCAGCGTTCTGAGGAATAACCACATCCCACACAAATCCTGCAGTAGCAAACTTCTCTTTTATCTCCGCCACTTTAGCCTGCAATCAACAGCTCGTAGAGTAAGCATAGTGGCATGCTTGAAATAAAACGATGAGTATCAAATTTGAAAAAAGGATAGGAACCTTGAACGGAAGATTTCTCACTATAAGTTTCCACCTCTGAGTTTTAGAGCCCTGGTCAATACATTCAATAGTCAAAAGATTATTACCACAAATGTATGTTAATTAACAAAGGGGAAGTTCAGATAACAAAAGTATTACATGCCATTGTCCAACTTGAAGCAATCAAAGAACAACCAACACCCTATACATGTTTAAGCTACGAATACAGAGCTACATCTCCTCGGTGGATCACTACGGATTTTTAAATTTTCAAGTTATCTTCAGAGAAAAAAGTGATCAAGGTCTGTGGAGATTCCTAGTCTTTTATAGAGCTGTCAAAAACAGTTGACAAAAATGCAACGAAAATTGCTAAACAAATCAATTAAAAACAAATGCTACAGCTGAAAACAAAAGCCAAACAAATTTGTGTGCTAATTACTGCGAAGGCCTTGTCTGGGTGGTATTGGGGTGGGGTGAGTACTATTAGGTCAAGAATTCAATTCCATTTGGGGTCGATCGTAGCCTGTAGGCCATTTTTTTTTAAGATAAAGTAAATTAAATTAACTTAAAAACTCTGTGCTGATTACCAGAAGACCTTTTAACAAAGATTAGCTTCACGTGAAATTCGGATTCAAGACAAACAACTCTTAATTACACCACCCTATATAAAGCCAAAGACAGATACTAAAACTAGATGATTAGAGAGAAGACGACTAGGTATCAAACTAAACTCTTGTGCTAGTTACTTAACCGGATAAAACAGTAGAATGAAGCGTGAATAGCCCTAAATAAGTAAACTCCATGCATCAGTAATTTATTTTTTTACCTTTATCTGCAGACTGCAGATATTCATTGACTTTTACAATTAACATGAACGTGTGTGACTCACTAAAACATTTTCCTCTCAAACTCAACCTAACACAATCAACTTCATAAGTCTAAATTTAGTTTTAAAAAAAAAAACGGGAAAGGGAAAATGGAGTGTTGATAGTATTGGTGCCTAGAGCTGTTTGTGGTTTTGTATGTATCGTATTAGATATTTCTACATCTGGATTTTACCTTCTCCCTACTCCTAAAAAATTGAGATTCATCGGATAGTTTAATATTTGGCACCTAGCTATGTGGCGTTTTTTACGAGAAACAGTCAGCACGTTATCTAAGCTAATGTTGAATTTTCAGCAAAGAAATCTCTTAAAAAGAACATGTATTAACCTCTCCCCCAAGCTGGCGTGCCCAAACAGATCCTCCATGTATCTCTTTCTGGTGCAGTGCTTCAACACATTGTCGGGCTGATTTTACACTTGTATAAAGTACAGATGAAGCTGTCATTTTGCATCCATCTTGAGCTAGCCCTGGAAAAATAAGTAAGATCTTTAACTTCTTCAAGAGCATATAAGTTGGTAGCAAGATAAAACAAAATAAATGAGTTGGTACTGCTAGAGCGTTTGTACTGAGATGGTTAATCTTAAAATTAAGCAATGGTAAGAACTTCCAATATGCATAAGAAACATGCAAACACAAGCAAGTATGAAGGAGGCCCATTCCGAAGGAGTGATTTGGATACACTAGACATGGCACAAAAGAGTTGATACGCAGCAAAACATGGTACGAGTCCCAAAAAGATCAGTTAAATATCTTACCATGATGCTCAAGTTCTTCCTTTGGAAGAGGATAAGTGACAGAGGATACAGTCCCGATTTCCCTCGCTAGACGATGAACTTCCTCTGCCATATCAACACTAAGAAGACCACCAAATATGACGGTCTTAGCTACCCTGTTTTACATGATGAATAATTTATTAGTTATGTCAGAAAAAACTATACAAGTAAGCTATATGCAGGTGACTTTTTAAAAAGACAACATACTTTTCACAAACTTAAGAAAATAAAATTCATGGAAGTCTAAGATTCTGCTTTTATCAAAGTTAAACAAAATGAAGCAATGATAACGCATAAATGTATATTGTGTAAAGGGTTACTGTATACAAGCGTATGATTTTATATATGTTTTATCCAATCCATTTCATGAGACTATCCAACCAAGCCTAGAATTTCATAAGCCAAACCACTCACTCTCCAGACTCACTAGAGTAAACCTTTCACGTGAAGAGAATGTTTCAAGCCCCACATTATTGCGCCACAACTTAGAGCTACAAACGAAATCGAGGGTCACTGAAGAACAAGATAAACATGCTTTCATGACAGCACCCGCACGAGTTTATGTCGACCAAACGGTTCATCTAGAATATCATTTGTCAACAACCTTCGATAGGAACTAGGTAGGAATTTGCATTTCTCGGGCCAAATAGACATGCAATCTATTTAATAGTTCTTGATATACCAAATTTGTTAAAAATATTATTTCATGTTTAAATAGACTTTCCAGCAGAACAGATATGTTTAACATTCTACTTGGAACAATGAGTGGACTTCCATAACAAACGAAAATAAAACTTATATATAATTGACTGCATCATAGGATTTTATAGTTATAACCAACGTAATTTAAAAAATATAATTACAAGAATTAAAGATCTGATATATATAACAGCACCTTTGTCTTTCAGAACTATTCGCCTCCTCAAGATGACCACTGGAAACAGCCATTCCTTTTCTTTTCTCCGGTAATTCACCTAACCATTTACAATTAACAAAGATTATTAAACATAAATGAAAATAAATGTATGAACACGTTTATATTTCTCAGCAATATACAAAAAATAACCTTTCGCTTGAAACTTTGAAGGCTTGCCAGTTTTCTCTACTGGAGCAGTTTCAACGGCCTTGACATTCTTTGTCTGGACAACATCTTCAGATTCAACTAACAAATATGAAAAGTGAAAGACCAAAGTATTATAATAATTATTCAAAATGAGCATAAAGAAGAAGCATGAACGCGTATATATATATATATATATATATATATATATATATATATATATATATATATCTCAGTCAGTCAGCCATAAAGAAAATAGAACCTTTTGCTTGAAACTTTGAAGACTTTCCAGTTTTCACTACCGCGGGAGTTTCAACAGCCTTGTCATTCTTTGTTTGGCCAGCATCTTCAGATTGAACTATGACACAGGATAAGCGGAAAACCCAAAAATATATATATATATATATATATATATATATATATATATATATATATATATATATATATATATATATATATATATATATATATATATATATATATATATATATATATATATATATATATATATATATATATATATATATATATATATATATATATATATACCTTTTGCTTGAATCTTTGAAGACTTGGCAGTTTTTTCTACCCCCGGAGTTTCAGCAGCCTTGTCGTTCTTTGTTTGGACAGCATCTTCAGATTGAACTAACAGATAGGAAAAGGCAAAAAACCAAACATTGTGACAAATGAGCTATTAAAAGAAGAAGCATGAAGGAAAAACAGTACAGTAACTTCAAGCATGAATTTGCATTGTTCTAGACTAGGACAATACACAAAAGGGAACTATGTTGAAACGAAACTCACATACCTTGATTTACATTAGCTCGACGCTGCTCAAGAGGAGCACGGTGTTGGGCTTGTTTAACGATAAGCTTTCTACCTCCAACAATCGAACCGTTTTTCAGTTCAATGGCCCTATTAGCATCTTCAACAGCAGCGCTATATCCAAAATTAGGAATCCGCATTAGCAACAAAATCAGAATTATAACTACAATTAGCAATAAACTTAGAATTTCAGCTATATTAATATGATGAACCAATGGAATTTCACTTACAATTGAACATAGCCAAATCCACGGTGCTCAGAAGACCCTAAATATTAACGCATAGAAAATGGAAACACACACACAATTAAAACTGGAATTAGTAAGCAAACGCCGCAATAAATTATCGAAACAGTAATTGTAGATAAATCATGTCTCTCCCGGAGCTTTAGCAACGATTATATCAAATGAGATTCCGTGAAAACGTACCCTTCTTCGTAACCATGAAGCACCTTCTTACTGGCCCAACATCACTGAACGCCTCTTCCAACTAAAATATTCCCACACAATAATAACAATAATAAGCAACAGTTTACTCCACAAACACACACACACACACACACACACACACACACACACACACACACACACACACCAGACAAAACCCTATAAAGAGATAGATATAAATACTTGCAAAAGTAAAAAAACCACACACACAGTACACACACACGGAGTAGTAACCATGCCTGAGAGTTAGTGAAGGTGAACGGAAAATTAGCGACGAATATGGTGGACGGAGAATGCTGATTATCGCCGCCGGCCTCTGTATTCTTCTTTTTCCCCATCGCTTCCTTTACTTTACGGGGAGGGAAGCTTGTTTTCAGCTTGAATTAAAAAAAATAAACTTTTTTATACAAATCCACAATATCAAATTAGCTAATGCGAGATAGTGTGTGAAGAAGAGCTTTGGTCGGACGGCGAAGATATTCCGGCGGAAACGCCGATTTCCTGGTGGCTGGCGGTGATTTATAGTAGAGGTTTATATAGGGTTTTTTTCCAATTTAGTGAGGCGCCGCTTTCAACCAATCTAAGAAAGAAAAAAAGGAAACGAATTAGCCCATTAGTAATAGTGACCCGAAAATCTGGTGCTCAAGTGGATTTGGGCCGAAACCCGGTACTTTGGATCCGGAACCGATTCTGTAATAAAATATGAGCCCAATCGAGCTTTTTCAAAAGGTAGCGACTATATGCAATCACAAACCTTATTTAGGGCAAGATCAAATGAATTACAAAAAGACTATGATGCCCTTTCTAAAATACAAACAAAATAGACCAAATTAGACCCAATTATACAGAGAAGGTCGTGACGTTAGAGGCAGTGGCGGAGCAAGGAATTCGTACCAGGGTGGGCTTTACGGGGTTCACGGGCAGCGTCCCCGAATTTTCTTTTCCGATTAATTCACATAAAGTAGCACAAAATAACTACAAATTTATAAAATTTAACTAATATAACATAAATTCAATCATTTAAAGTTACAACTCTAAATATAGTCATAAAAGTTATTACAAAATTACAAATGACCCTTTCGTGTTTTCATTTTCTGAAAACTCTCCATGATTGTTTTATTATCAATTTCTATGGAGACTTCTCTCCCAATAAACACAAGCAAAGAGTCACTTAACCATTAATCATTCATTCGATTGTGCAATCCATTCTTTATGATATTTATAGCTGAAAATGCCTTCTCAACAGTAGCGGTAGCAACTGGCAATGTTAATGCCAATGTCAAAAGCAAGTAAACCAAAGGATACACCTTATTTCTCCTAGTCTCTACCATTATGCGAGCAAGATCACTTATACCATTCAGTCCTAAAAAATCCTTGCTTAGGCGCATATCAACAATATAATTATCCAATTGATCACTGAGCTTACATTTGTCAAACTCGGTAAAGTCTTCTGGATAAAAATCAACAAGACGAAGTAGTTTTTCCTCGCTATAATGGGAAAATGAGTTTGATGGATCAAGGCAAGACACACACATAAGCAGTTCCATAGTCGAATCAGAAAATCGAGCATTTAATTCTCCAAGTTGCATATCCAAGACAGTGTAAAATGTCTCAATCTTATAATGATGTAGGTTTGTCATTTCTTCTTCATTCTGTCTTCTTCGCCCTCGAGCAACATATTTAGCATCCATTTGAGGAATATCAACTCCGTGTTTCTCACAAAAAGTTGTAACACCATCAAGTAAATAACTCCACCCACTTTCTTTCGAGGATTGAATTTGAATCTTTGACACTTGAACTAATGTCATTGCATTCACAATGTCTTGATCTTTTCTTTGAAGTGCTTGAGATAGCTCATTTGTGATCGCCAATACTTTTTTCATCAAAAAGAGGTTCAACAAAAAATCAAATGACAAAAGTCTATCTACAATATCTTGTGCTTTGGTACGATGACTTGTACTTGAAGCATCACGACCAATAAGTTCAAGTACATCAATCACCGCACCAAACATATTGATCAAGCTCAACAAAGTGTTGTAGTGAGAGCTCCAACGTGTATCACCTGGACATTCAAAAGTATTAAAAAATGAAAGTGGCAAGACATTCTTAAAATGAAAAAAAGGAAATCTTGAAGCCTAAAAATAATCTAACCTGCTCGCTTAAGATTCGTTTCTTGATTTAAACCTCGCCCAGTTGAAATTTCTCCCATATCGAGTGCTTCAAGTATTTTTTCAGATTGCTTCTCTCTAAGCAAATCACGACGTTTACACGATGATCCAACAACATTTAACACTCTTGTAGTAAAATCAAAAAGTGAAGAAATATGATCGTGTTTTCTTGCAAATGCTACTAAACCGAGTTGTAACTGATGAGCAAAACAATGAAAATAATATGCCGAAGGGTTCTCATTGAAGATAAGTGTTTTTAGGGCATTAAATTGACCTCTCATGTTACTAGCTCCATCATAACCTTGACCTCTTAATTTCGAGATACTCAATCCATATCTAGAAAAAACTTTATCAATAGTTCCTTTAAGAGTCAAAGCACTAGTATCGGTAACATGTTCAATACCTAGAAAACGCTCAATCACACTCCCACATTTATCGACATATCTTATCACCAAAGCCATTTGCTCCTTCATTGATATATCACGTGCTTCATCGACCATCAGACAAAACGGCGAATCACCAAGATCACTTATAATTACTTTCATAATTTCCATTGCAAAAGCATTTACAATCTCCTTTTGAATATCCGGACTTGTCATCTTTTGGTTTAGCGGAGCATTATTCAAAGTAAGTGTCTTGATATCGGGATTAATTCGCCCAAAAGTTTTTACAAGTTGAATAAAATTTCCTGGATTAGTGGAACTTTCAATTTCATCGTGACCACGAAATGCCAATCCTTGTGTTGAGAGATATCGGGCCACCTCAATTGACGTATTTAAGCGGATTTTATATCTAGCTTTTTCTTGATTTGACTGTTTGCAAACAACCGTCTCAATATGTTGCTTTTGATTCATCAAATCTTGACATTTTCCCCAAGCTATATTATGTGCACTGTTGGGACCCTCTACATGAATAGATAATTTATCATTTCTCTTCCAATTTTTAAACCCTTCAGTAACAAAATGATCACCACCCAATTGACCTCCAATATCTGGTTTGAAAAGATAACAACATAAACAATATGCTGCATCTTTTGATACACTATACTCCAACCAGTTACTATGTCCGCTAAACCAAACTTTATTAAACCGTCTATCTTGGTTGCCAAAGATTGTAAGAGGGAAGTCGTGGTTATGAGGTTGGCAAGGGCTCTTTTGCTAATATGCTCTCCGAACTTGTTCTCGAACGTTAATGTTATAATGCAAAATACTAGGTCTTTGTCCAAGATCTGCAGGAAGATCTCCCAAGTTAACCTCTTAGAGTGTATTACCGAATGAAGAATCATCACTTATTTGGGGAGGAGGTGATTTTCTCTTCAAATATCTCCTCATAACTGTTTAACCATACAAAATCAAGGACATAAAATTTACTAAGCAAACAAATTAATCCAATAATCACTTGCAATGAAAAAAAAATTATTTTAAAATTTTAAACTCGAAACTACTCTAAGCTACTGCTTCTTACATAGACAATAAAAAATTGTATATATTATTTTATTTTATTTTCTTTTCTTATTTTCATATAAAAAAGTTAACCCATATAAACAACACTATACTGAATATAATATAAACACATGTGATGATGCTATAAATAGATTACATTAATTAGTTGAGATAGAGGGAGTTGGGAGAACAAAGTGGATCACTGCTCACGTGCTAGATGGCCCTGAGATACCTACGAACATTAAAACACGTGAACTAGGCCGGGGGTTGATCCGGCGGAAATCCCTCCGACGCTCAAGTCAGACGTGCGGATAATGGAAAAAGTCCACAAAATACATGTTGTAGTATTACTCAGATAATAGGACGTACTTGTAATAAATGAATTATATCGTTATTTATACCTTAGTTGAGATTGTTGGGCCTAAGCCTTATTTGAAGTTGATTGAGCCTCGGTGATAGTGGTCTTCAATATTGGGCTCGTGGCCCAGTAGGTAAATAAATTGTAAGCCCATTGGGTTGGCCCATTGAGGTCGCTCTGAGCGAGTTGTCTCCTCGTTGAAGTTGTCTCGCTGCGAGTCTTATTACCGAGGGAGTTGACTTCTCGTGGGAGTTGTCTTGCAACGGATTTGTAGTACCGAGCGAGTTGGCTCCTCGTGGGAGTTGTCTCTCTACGAGTTGTAATACCGATGGAGTTGGCTCCTCTTGGGAGTTGCCTCGCAACGGGTTGTAGGACCGAGCGAGTTGGCTCGTCGTGGGAGTTGTCTTGCTGCGGGCTCGTAGTACCGAGGGAGTTGGCTCCTCATGGGAGTTGTCTCGCAACGGGTTGTAGGACCGAACGAGTTGGCTCCTCGTGGGAGTTGTCTCGCTGCGGGTTCGTAGTACCGAGGGAGTTGGCTCCTCGTGGGAGTTGTCTCGCAACGGGTTGTAGGACCAAACGAGTTGGCTCCTTGTGGGAGTTGTCTCGCTACGGGTTCGTAGTACCGAGAGAGTTGGCTCCTCGTGGGAGTTGTCTCGCAACGGGTTGTAGGACCGAGCGAGTTGTCTCCTCGTGGGAGTTGTCTCGCTGCGGGTTCATAGTACCTAGGGAGTTGGCTCATCGTGGGAGTTTCCTCGCAACGGGTTCGTAGGACCGAGCGAGTTGTCTCGCTGCGGGTTCGTAGTTCCAAGCGAGTTGTCTCCTCGTGGGAGTTGTCTCGTAAGCCCCGCACTCTCGATTCGATGTGAGAGACAAGTCAAAAAGAGTACCAAATCGTGTCGAGAGTAGATCGGTGTTGTAGTATTCCGTTAATTGTTGGCGTGGCGTGGAGAAATAATAATTTTTATTTATCTATTGGAGAGCGCACGCAATTTGGTGGAGCGCATTGAAATTCTCGTGCGATTTTGTGGTGAAATCGGCACGCGATTTGGTGGAGCGTGTCGAAATTCGCGCGCAATTTGGTTTAACCCGTAGAAAACCGCACGGGATTGAATTTGTGTAGGCATAGCCGCGCAATTTTGATGTAGGAGAGTGGGGATGGCCGCGTGTTTTTTGATGGAGAAGAGAGGTGATGGTACGCTTGGAAGAGAGAGATGATTGGACTTGCATTGATGGAGGAGAGAGGGAGGTTGCTTGGGAGCTGCCACGCGCGCGTTTGCTGCCCCTTTTTTTTCTTTGTTTTTCTTTTTCTTTTTAGTTCGCGCGCCACACGCGCGTTTGCCAAGTTGCGCGGCGCCCCACCCGCGCGTGCGGGGCACGCGCGGGCAAATTTTTTTTTTTCTTCCGCTTTTCTGCGCGCGCGGACCGAGGGGCCGTGCGATTGGCGCATGCCCTCCACGTGCGCGTGGTTTTTTTTACCTTTTTTTTTTGGTTTTTTTCTAGCTCCTTCGCACGGATCGAGGGACGCGTTTTGGAGCAACTGCACATTTTTTTTCATTTTTCTTATTAGGTGGTTAATGTCCACCCTTTTGGGGATGTTTTATTTTTTGAGTAGGGAGACCATATCCGACTCTTGAGATGGGATGTGAACCCCCTTGGGGTTAAAAAGTAAGGGTGATGTCCAACCATTTGGATGAGATGTCCAATCTTAGGGTGAGATAGCCCGCAACTTAGGATGAGGCGATCACAATCCATTGGGATGAGATGCCCAACCTTGGGGTGAGATAGCCCCCAACTTAGGATGAGGCGATCACGAATCGTTGGGATGAGATGCCCAACCTTGGGGTGGGATAACCCCCAACTTATGATGAGGCGATCACGAACCCTTGGGATGAGATGCCCAACATTGGGGTGGAATAACCCCCAACTTAGGATGAGGCGATCACGAACCCTTGGGATGAGATGCCCAACCTTGGGGTGGGTTGTTACATTCGAGACCTATGGTCTGAGGTGGATGCTCACGAGTTGTGCCACTGCTTCAGTGGCAGGACGAGTTGAAGCTTTCCGCGGTTATATGCTGAAGATCCTCATCGGTTATCTGAACCGTTCGAGGAGCAAGTAGAATATGGTCTTGCTGAGGATCTAGTGGGACACCCGAGAAAGATCTCGTGGTGGATCCCTAGCACGAGGAGGAGGAAGTGGCAAGTCAGAGCCTCCACGAGGTGGGAGGTCATTAGAAGTGTCACTCCCCCTGGACAAATGTCTCAAGGCCATCATGTGCGCTACGTGATTATCTCTGCCTTCCCACAGACGGCGCCAAAATGATGATGCTATAAATATATCACATTAATTAGTTGAGATAGAGGGAGCTGGGAGAACAAAGTGGATCACTGCTCACGTGCTAGATGGCCCTGAGATACCTACGAACATTAAAACACGTGAACTAGGTCGGGGTTGATCTGGCTGTAACCCCTCCGACGCTCAAGTCAGACGTGCGGATAATGGAAAAAGTCCACATAATACATGTTGTAGTATTACTCAGATAATAGGACGTACTTGTAATAAATGAATTATATCGTTATTTATACCTTAGTTGAGATTGTTGGGCCTAAGCCTTATTTGAAGTTGATTGAGCCTCGGTGATAGTGGTCTTCAATATTGGGTTCGTGACCCAGTAGGTAAATAAATTGTAAGCCCATTGGGTTGGCCCAATTAGGCATATCAACATGTTATCAGATATGGCAAGCACAACAAGTCAGCAACTAAAAAACAATTAGGTGAATTGAGTTTCATACAAAATCAAGACCCACTGACTCTCCACACAAAGTAATAAAATATATATATATATATATATATATATATATATTTCCACTATAAGATATACATTCTTTACCGGAAGACAAAAGTAAGAGAGGAAATAAAATAATGGAATTGAGTTTCCATGTTCTTCACATACTACCATACAAAAAATTAGAATTACGTTTCTGAAACTCATCACTATTAAAATCACTTCTTACATAGACTTCTCTCTCCCTGTTTTTCCATTTTTCTTTTTTTATGCTAAAAAAATTGGTCAAAGGACAAGCAATCAAATTAAAATATCTCACATTTCGAACAATTATATAAATTGGAAAACAGAAAAAATAAAATATGCAGTACCAAAGCAACAAGCAAGTATCAACATTGTGTTCAAATAAAAAAAAAAAAGAAAAAAAACCATTGCATTCGTTGTCAAATTCGCAACTCATCAAAAGCCAAAAGACATCTTCCATTGAAATTGAGGAAGGAAATACTCAAAATCCTTAAAATAATTACCATCTGCAACTCCACATGTAATGAATTACTATTAAATTCATTCTTAATCAAATATTATCAATTAAACCCTAATCCCTATATAAATATATGTACAATATTATAGAGTGAATTTTGTTTTACCTTAGTTGGAAACCTATTCCGTTTTCTATTACAGAAGAAAAATTGCAGAAGATAGAGTTGTGGCGTGTCTCGTGTTATTCCGTAGTAGAATATTGCAGGAAAAAAAATGGAACAAAAAACAGAGACAGAGACGATGAACAAGAATTACTGATTGCAGAATATTAATTCTTAAAAAAAGAAATTGGGCTTTGTAGTGGGTGGGCTGAATATATATAGGGTATATATAGGTAAAAAAAAATTAAATTCCACAGTGGGCTGGAGCCCACCCTTGCTAAAGGGTGGCTCCGCCACTGGTTAGAGGGAATTGCTGCTTTGTTTGCTGATAACACTCCTACTGCACCACCGTCGGCGACTACTCCACCATCGAATGCACCACCACCAACCGCTTCATCACCGGATGCACCACAGTCGACCGCTTCACCACATGATGCACCACCGTCGACCGATCCACCACTATTAGTCACATTTCAGAAGAAGACACTTAGAAAAATATAGATAGTGTGGTGGTTTGATTTTGCTTATGCGCAGATTTCTGTGATTATGTTGGTTTTGTTATGACGATGTTGGTTATGAATTTGGATGTTTGGATGATTTTGAATGATTTTAGATTTTTTTTATATTGATTTTGGAAGTATTCCATAAAAAATATATAAATGCACGAGTTCATAATATATATATAATGCAACAATTCTACATACCCAATACAAAATATAGAATTCAATAGTGCTAATTATCTTTTATTTGTTAGTATATATGGTCACTTGTAGTTACTCTCTAAAAGCAATAATCTTAGACTCCATATGAACAATTTTCCAAGCACTCGCTCCAGGATGATGGTATCGCCTCCAATGATCTGCAACATGAGGAATAGGACAATTCTTCTTCAAGACAAGATGTACATGATTTTCATCAACGAGTGCTATCCCATGCTCTTGTTTTTTCCCCTTTGGCACAGGGTCACTAGAGAGTGGGAGAAATGTAAGACATTGTAGATACGATAAGAGTACGATCACGATGTCATATTTAAAGGCAATAAAATGACCCATATTAGGAAACGACATCCAATTTTCATATGGGGCAGGTGTAACCGAACACGTAATTCTCATTTCCAATTTGTCAAGTGTATCTCGCACTTTGTGGATATTCATGTAGATAGCATCATTCATGTAGAGCTCATCGACCAAATCTTTTCGTACTTGACCCCAATTGTCTTCCCCGAAACCCATCATTGATGCAACCGCCCGAAATCCACAATGGCCATCCGACGCAAAATTTTTTATGTCTACCACGTGTCTTCGGAACTTCGAATGTATATATTTTATATATGTACCGTTGAAAATTTTCTTTCGAACCTACACATAAAAGGGTTTAATGAGTAATAAAGAAGGGATAAAAAATGCTTTACAGTAAAATATCGACACCATGGGGTAGAAAGTTAAGTCAATTTTTGACACCATTGGGGTCGAAAACTCACTGGTATGTTTTCAGACTGTCTGTATTTTCAACTTGGACTTTTACTTTTTAAATTTTTTTTTTCTGAACTTGTTTTTTTTGGTCACCGGCTTCCGGGGTTGACTTTTCTTTTTTTCAGCCGCCAGTTTCCGTCGTTGACCGTCGTTCTTCGGCGTTGACTTTATTTATTTTTTATTGTTTCCCCAAAATTGTTGTCCTTTCTTTTTACGCCCACCGCTGAACGGTGACTATGATTGTACTGTCATTAACAGTAATTATACTATCGCTGACAATAATTGTACTATCGTTGACAGTACATTTACTGTCGGCGACAATAATATTATTATTTTTTTGGCTTTTCTTTATTTTGTTTGATTTGTTGACAAGTCAACGTAATTATATTATTGTCGTTGACGGTACTGTAAACATAATAATATTACTGTCAACCACATCAAATTATTATTTTTTGGCCCTTTTATTTTGTTTGATTTGTTGACCGATTAACGTAATAATATGACTATCTATTATTGTAATAGTACTGTAAACACAATAATAATACTGTGGTTAACGGTAATATTACTGTCAACCAAATCAATATTATTTCTTTTCACCTTTTATTATATTTGACTTTGTTGAACGGTTAACATATTAATATTACTCTATTACACAATAATAACGATTTTTATTGTGTTAATATTACTATGCTAGAGAGTAATATAACAATATTAATGTGTTAAACACTAATATAGTAAATATGATTGTCAACCACAGCAATATTACTATTTAAACGGGGCAAAAAGATGTTGAACAAAAAAAAAAAAGTAAAAGACGGCGGAGACCGGCGTTAACCGTCGGTCAGCGGCAGTAGAAAGAAGAAAAAAAATCGAAAAAGTCAACGCCGGAGATTGGCGGAAAAAGCATTAGAAAAAAAAATCAACGCCGGAGACCAGTCGTCAACAGCGGCGACGGGCGAAATTGTACTGAAATTTGACTTTTTGGTCAAAATTGAATAATTTGTGAAATTTGGGGTCAAGTTGATGTTAAATTGAATTAAATGATGAGCATATTAAAATGTGGGGTGGTATTTTATCTTTTACACACCTCTAAACAATATCTGGATTTTTTTGTAAAAGAGGTTTTTGTCTGGGCCTCTTTATGAATAAGTATCCCATGATTGGCTTATTTATAATTGACCCATATATATATGGCGAGTTTGACATAGACCCACAAATTCAAGTTTCACTACAAATAGGTCTATTTTTTAACTTTCATTTCCAATAAACCCACAAAACTATGAATGCTCACAATAGCCCTACATATTTTTATTTGAGATAAGCCCAATCCATCGCCATCCCATCCCACCCGCCCACTAGGCCGGTCCGACCCGGTCTGGTCCAGACTGACCCAATAATATATATATATATATATATATATATATATATATATATATATATATATATATATATATATATATATATATATATATATATATATATATATATATAGATATATTAATATTTATTTATTTTTCGGGCGACGGATCGTCGAAACTCTCATTAACTGACTCAACATTAATTAACTTCAACATTAGTTGACATTTCATTTTTTTTTCCCAGTGTTGGGTCGTCGGAGCTTTGGTCAGCAGGCTCAACATTAGTTAACTGCAACATAATTGACATTCCATTTTTTTTTAATTTTTTTTTATTTAATTCTTCTTTCAGGTGGTGGGTAATCGGAGCTCCGATTAGTTAACTTGCATTAGCTGACTCAGCATTAGTTAACTTCAACATTAGTTGTCATCCCATTTTCTTTTATTTTATCTTTCTTTTTGTTTTAATTTTTTTTTACGACGACATGTCGTCGGAGCTTCGGTTAGTTGATTCAGCATTAGTTAACTTCAACATTAGGTAAATAAACAAAAATAATAATATCAAAATAAAATAAGATAAACAAACCCTATTTAGGGAACTTTTTTAGGGTTTGAAAGGGTAAAAAGGGCATAAGCAATTATATGGGTTCATATCAAATGAAATTTACAACTAATGGATTTTACTAAAAAACATAAAAATACTTGAGCTTATCCTATTTTATACAAGTTAGTGAGGACACTATCTCAAATAAATAAAATTAGTTTTACTAATGAAAATTTCAATGAAACTAAGAGCCTGTTTGGCTAAGCTTATAAACTCCTAAATACATCTTATAAGATGTTTAAGAGTTTATAAGATGTTAAAAGGTATTTGGTAAAAAAATTAGAAAAAGATCTTTTTTTTTTCAAAAAATAAGCTGTTAGGGAGCTTATAAGATGTTTTTAAAAAAGTACATTCACCACCACTTTTTTTCTTTAAGATCGTATTTGTTTTTTTCACTAAAACACTCAAAATACAAAATTACCCTCAAATACTTTATTATATTACATGAATACTAATAACATTTATATTTTATCAAAACAACGTATTCTTGTTATCAAAATTAATAATTAGTTAAAATATAATTATCATAATAATTGTATAAAATAAATTATTCTCTATTTATATTTTATATGTATATAAAATTACCCGAATATTCTTATTTTCTGAGTAATAAATTATATTTATTTTATCTATAAAAAAAATTATATTTATTTTACAACCTTTATTTTATATTTATATATTAATGGGACAAAAAATTAAAACTTTCACAAATGTGTTTCATTTAAAATATTATAGTACACGTCTTTATTTTAAAAAAATGTCAAATGTCATATCAACATACATAAAAAATTATTTAGTTTATTTAATATATAATTTTATATTATTATTTTTATTTGAAAAATTAATTTGTAAATACTTATAATAATATTTTAGGAATAAAAGTATTTGAGTCGAATTAGTTTAACAGTTATAATGGCGTCATGTACTTTTTTGTCATTTTAGCGATAAACAGACCTTTTATTTCCAAACACCTGAACAACTTATAAAAACTAAAAGTAACTTATAAGCTACATATCCAAACACCTTAAAAAATAATTTTTAAAATAAGATCTAACAGCTTATCAGCTCCTAAAACATCTTATCAGCTGTAGGTGCTCGATCAATCAAAGCAACAATATTAAAATACACACACTGAGCAAGATTCCAATATTTTATTAAATTCGCAACCGCGAACAAAAAGCATTGATAAAGACGTGAATCACATACAGAAGCGTATTAATACGATAAAAAAATATTGTTTTTTTTTTGTTTTTTTTTTTATTTTTATTTTTTATTGTACCACGTAGTAAAATGAGAATTTTATAGAAGCCGAGATGAAATTTCAACCCATATATCGAAATCTCGTACTTTGTCTTCACATGATACCCAAGAACGACGATTATACCAATTCGTCTAATTCCTTTTTCATTTTCAATCGTCTCCTAAAAAGAAGCATATAAATCGTCTAAATGAGCACTAAAATGCATAAATTATGGATGCAATTTGATAGGTAAATAAGTTATTAAATAACCAATTAAGGTATTTACATTTTCAAGTCGTACGAGATCTTCTGTCCTACAACTATGCAGAATAAAAAGTGCAACCCCCTTCAATGAATGAAAGTTGTCACTAACTTTTCCATAAATATAATACTGTTACACAATGTTTTTGGCAACAAAAAAAAAAAAAAAAAACAAATAGTATGGCATACATATGTTAAGAAAATTAAGTGATATACACCTTTCTTTCGAGCCATTTCGTTTTCTCTCGTGCACTACCCAACCCTCCAACCATTCTTGCAACGATAAGTTATACATTGGTTAAACTGATGGGTTTGATATTTCGTGAAGAGGAATCAAAACGCCGTGTTGTTGGATTGGAAGCCTTTTCACTCCTAAAGCCGATATTTCTTCTCGTCGGGAAGGAACTAAGAGATACATATTCCTTTCACTTGTTTCATTCTGTTTAACATTTGTTAGGAAAGTCAATCAAAACTAGTCGATCGTCAAAAAATATGCAGTCTATATGGTTGTGTTTATATTTCCTAGTTATATGATCATCAAAAGCAACTTATCAAAAATAAATTATGATCGTTAGAAGTGTAAATACGTATGGTTACATATATGTGCACAATTTGCACATTTTATGTGTCGTCTTAACGCAATAATTGTGGGGGATAATTACAATAATCTCTTATATGGTAAGAATTTTTGAGTTCATTCAAAGGTAGTTCGAGAAAATCTTAATTTTCCATAATAAATTTTCATATGTAAAAATTCTTATGAAATATTATGATATTGTTCAACTTGTATGTGCCATTAACCTTGTAAAAGAACGTTCTTCGTGTATATTCCATTACAGTAATAAATTTTCTAGGATATAACTAGTTAGTGAGATAAAAATATTTTAAAAAATAGCCAATCTAAGTTAAAAATCTTTAATATATTGTTGACAACTTGAGATGTCATTTTAGTTGACCATTTCTTTTTATTTTATTTTAAAACATTTTTTACGAATAGGAACATGTAGAAAAACATGGGCAATTGCAATTTTGATTTCGAAGTAAAATTTATGTTTTTATTTTTACTTTACGATTATGATATTTTTACGCAATTTTGGGTACCTAAACACAAGCACAAAGCACAAATTAATTTTAATCATTAAGTGGAATGATCAAAATTGTATTTTTCCTAAAAGTTATTGTGATCCATGTAATTGAGGTCTAACCCTCACATTTTCAATACCCATCCATACACATACATTACACGATCAATGCACACGTCACTGTAAACGCACATGCATGTGCACAAAAAACTCACATG